AAAAAAAAAAAAAAAGACTACAGCTCCCAGTCTAGGTTCAGGCAGGGCTACCAACTAGAGGTCAAGAGGCCAGCAACTAGAGGTCAAGGCCCTCACACCAACCCGTCCTTTGACCAAGGAAACCAACTCAGGAGACTTCCGGGGAAGGGGGAGGAGGGTAGGGGGCGTCGATCCATGTTTTCACCTTCATACACACCAGGTATCATTCCACAGCTGGCATAAGAGGAATAGCTTCATTATTTCATTCACTAAAGTAATGCTGTATTAAAATTTTAATCGGTGAACATAACGCTGGAAAATGAGTACATCCATACACTGCAATTTTCCAGTGTAAACTGTCAAACCCATTTTTTTTTTTTTTTTTTTTTGCAAAAGCAATATTGCAACACAAAGAAAAGTCCATAAAGATGCTGGTATTCTTTGCTCTACCAACTCTACCCCTAGGGAATTTATCCAAGGAAATAATCTGGTTCAATAGAATAAAAATATTCTCTTTAGAAGAACTCCATTGAGGTGTTAATTGATGCAGAGGAAAGATAAAACAAAAACCAAAAACACCTGGAATTACCTAAATGACGACAAATAGGGAGATTTTAAGAAATGGGGGGGACTCACTTGATGAAACAGTATACAACCATTAAGCATTACAACAGAGATTATCTAGACTTTCAAAAATAAATGGGATATCCAGCCCTTGGAAGGAGCAGAAAAGGCAACAACGTGCATATTTTAATGTAAAGCATGTTGACAATACCTCAAGGTGAACAAGAACAAGAAAACTGGAAAGAATTGAATCAAAGCCAGTGGGGTGGGGGGGGGGTTTTTATTTCAAAAGTCCTTCCAAAATATTGCCATTAAATCGCATTTTCAGTTAAAAAAAAAAAAATCCCTCAGAAACTATTGTACACTCTCCTAACAAGGCAGAAGACCACCACCGAAACACAAGGACGTTGGTTCAAACTTTAAATGCAAAATAAAGCCAAACCTGGAGATGCCTTCCATGTTGTATACCCCAGAGGTTCCCACAGGTGGACCCTATAATAAGACTCAACTTGTTGAATAACAATGCCATATGCATGATTTTACAGTAACTCCGCCTCTTTCTCTGCAGGGTGGGAATGGGGGACTGGAAAGGGTGTGTCTTTCCACTGAGATGAGAAGAGGCACCTGGATTCCTCCCAACCTCTGAGGGTGGGGCCAAGGCAGCCGGTGAAATCAGCCCCGTGGGACGGGCCACTCACCTTTCACAATCAGCTCGGCATAGTTGGACACACCGGAACCACCGTCGGAACGGATCACACAGCGGTACTTGCTCACACTCCGATGGGCGGTGTCGGCCACGCTGACCGTGGCTGAGAAGCGTCTGTGGTTGACCACGCGGGTGACCATGAGGGCCGTGTCCCTGCCGTTCCATTGCTGCAGGACAGAGGGAGGGAGGAGGAGAAATCACATCACCTTACGGCCCCCGGGGACCCCCAGCTCGGAAGCTCCACCTGTCCCCACATCCCTGGGGCCATGGCTTTCCTTAAGAAGGAGTATCGATGGCTGGCTTTTGCAAGTGATCTGACTCAAGTGTAAACTTTGCTAGCGAGCTGATTCAGGAGGGCAGTGCCTGATGATAAGAAGAGAGGGCACAGGCCTCCTCCTGACCCCTTGGTTCCCTGCTTGGCCTGAGCTTGAGGCTGGCATTTGGCCCTGAGCCCTCCTCCCATCTTCCTTCATCTCTTAAGCAGAACCCACAAGGTTCCCCCAAAGACAGTCTCAGATAGACTACTGAAAATATAACCCATGAAGTGACAACAAACAGCCTGGCCCTCAGCCCATGGCTGGTGCCCTCATACCCCACCCACAGGCCCTGAGGGACCTATCTGTCTCCAGGCGTGGTGTGGATGGTGGCTTCCCAGCACCTCTCCTCCTTGGCATTTGCTTTTTCCTCAGCCTGGAACCTCCCATCTGCCTGGGGTCAGTCCCTCACCCTTAAAAACTCACGCTCAGCACATTGCCGTCTCCGGTAAGTTCGCCTGTCACACCACCTTCTAGAAGCTATTTACTCTCTACTGGTTTTGTCGTCGTTGTTTTGGGGTGTTTGTTTGTTTGTTTGCCTACATGTTTCCCCCTTTAGACTAGACTCGGAGCTCCACGAGGGCATCCTTTAGCCCCTTTTCATCTCCAGCACTGTGCCCAACTTCCCAACTTGGTAAACATTTCTAGAATCAAAGTGAATACACAAGCGTTTTCGTCTATACTGTGCTGAATCTCAGGTGTGATATTCTGAGTCTGAATGAGCCCCTTCTATAGCAGCAGCAAGCAATGACAACTGGTAAGGTACATGCTTGAGGATACAGCCTGAGTGACTATTAAAGCACCTTCTATGAGCCAGACCCTGAATCTCCTTTTTAATCCTCCCAGCCTTGTTTGAGGTATTACTGCTGCTCTCCTTAGCAGAACCCAAATGTCAGTGTGGCTGAGTACACATGTAGAGCAAGGAAGTCCCTTATCCAGCTTTTCTGACTTCGGGTCAAGCATCTTTTCACTGAGACCCTATCCTCACTGCCTTTATTTCGTTTCCGAAAGTAAAATTGAGTGTTTTAATTATCTAGTTGGATTTCGGGAAACTTTAGGATTTAGGAGCTTCTCCACAACTGAAAACTTCCATGATGCAATCTTCATCCCTTCCTGTCCATAGTAAACACCTCCAGCACACACATGACCTGCTTCCATCCATCCACGCTCCCATCAGCGACGCGTCAGGCCTGGGACATGGGAGGGGGTAGGACTCCAGGGCTCAGCTGTCCCAAGCCAATGAGATGGAACAGCAGGGAGGGCCAGGAGCAAACAGCCAAGAAACACGGGGAAACCAAGGCCTCTGTGTGACTTGTTCCAGACTGGACAGGGAGATTGGAGGGGCTGGCTTTCTTCTTTTTACTTTTTGGCATTCTCTAGACTTTCTGCCTTAAACACTGCTTTTATACTTGAAAAGAATAAAGGAACTAAAGGAAATGCCAGACTTAAAAGCATGGTAGGAGGAGGGGCAGCCATAACCCCCTCCCATTCCGGAAACTCTGCAACAGGCCAGGATAAGAACAATGCAAGGGAACTGAAGGAAGAAGTAACTGGGGCGGAAACCGCCCACCACCTGCCTCATGCCCGGGTATGTTTTTGCAAGAGATGGTACAACTCGCTCAAACTCTGAGAACTGACGACCCCAGACACAAGTCCCTCTCCCAAAATATGCAGTGAGGAAGTAGAGGAAATCCTGGCAAATGCCAGGAATGTGACCTGATCTGAGGAAAAGTTGGCTGAAGGCACAGAAAGGCCTCGGAAGAGATAGGTCACCAAACCAAACCAAGCCCATTTTCTCCTCACTGCTGAGCAGTCCCTTCACACCTGGAAAGGGAGCGATGAGGCTCTGGCTGGGTATTTTCTAACCTGATTTATTTATAACATCATAAAGATTTTGATCTTTCTTAAGTTGACAGTGACTAAGCACTACTGTGGGCTAAGTGTTTTACATTCCTTCTTCATTAATTCCTCACAAAAATCTGTGAGGGGGGCCCACTTCTTACCTCCGTTGTATATACGAGGAAGCCGAAGCTCAGAGAAGTGATCTGCCTGCCCAGGCTTGCACAGCTTGGAAGTGGCAGAGCTGGGATTTGAATGCAGGCCACCGGGCATCAGCACTTGGCCCAAAGATACCATGTGGTGCTCTAACGTGGGGTGACTACTCCCCACCCCTCACCTCCTCTAGCACACTCATTCCCACATGTGGAGAAGAGAGTGTGGCCAAGAGCTACCTATGCGCCACCAATTTCTTAGCTAAGGACTATCCCCGCCCCCCCCCCCAAAAAAAGGGAAAGACAGGGGTAGAGGAAGCAAAAATGCCTACATCCCAGCCAGACAGCTCATCAGACACAGGGCTTTTCCTCAGACCTCCAATGCTTTGAACAGCCAAGAAATTTACTTGGGAGATAAGAAGACACAGAGCACGAAGCCAGCACATGAACTCTACAGACCATCATCTAAGAAGTGAGTGGAGAACGAAAAGTACTAAGAAAGAAAATAAACCTCAAAAGAATTACGGGAAACAAACAAGGGCACCATTTGCAGGATTCAAAATAGTGCTAGAAGTGAACGGCAGACTCAACACTGCAGAAAAGCACTGACAGCTGGAGGCAGGGGTGGGGGAGGCTTAAGAAAATAACCCAGATTGCCAAGAAGGCACCGATAAAAGGAGAGGAGGGAGGCAAACTGAGGAAGAAAACAGAGATCAGACAACATACCAGATAAGTATTTGGTACGCCTGAAGATGGGAGCTTAGGGAATGGAACACAAATTCTATCCTAAGTCATATCAGCTCACCTGCCTGGATGAAAACAAGACCCAAACCTTTAGACTGAAATGGCCTACCATTCACTTGACAAAATTTATGAAAAGCACAACAATTGAGGTACGCATTTTACTTCACAAAAATATTAGATGTTAAGGATAAAGAAGTATATAAAAATCTAGGCAGAAAAAAAAAAATACTGTGCTGAAAATGCCTCATCTGCAACTGCTCCCAAAGCCCAGACAACCTCTGTCCTGGATGTGGCTGATCCCCCAGTGGTCACAGCTGAGCTCCCAGGAGGCTAGATACTTGAGAGAGGCCAGGGCAGGAGCTAGGGAAAGGTGGGACAGGAAATGATAATAAAACAAAAGCATACAAATGCCCAATATGTGCAGCCTTGGGCCCTGATTTCATTTCTCTCAGCTTTGGTTTCCTTACACCATTAATGGATGTGACACTGGTGCCCACTTTATGAAGTTCTCGTGATGCATAAATGAGAAAGTGTACAGAGCACTGAGCCCATGATGGTGTATCCTGGTGTGAGCTGAGCTCTCCAAATTAACCATGAAATTAACCATGAAAAGTGGGGTAGGGATAATGGCCCCCCCCACAATGTCCATATGCTAATCCCTGGAAGAACCTGGGACTATGTCACCTTCTATGGTGAAAGGGACTTTGAAGATGTTGATTAAGCTCAGGATCTGGAGATTTGGAGAGGATCCTAGATGATGCAGGTGGGCTCAATGTAATCACAACGGGCCTCATATGAGAAAGACGGAGGAGGGTCAGAGTCAGAGACAGGACATGTGGTGACAGAAGCAGAGGTCAAAGTGACGTGACTGATGGCTTAAAGATGGAGGAAGGAACCAGAACCAAAGAATGCAGACAGCTTCGAGAAGCTGGGAAAGGTAAGGGAGCATATTCTCCGCTAGAGCCTCTAGAAGGAATGCAGCCTGGCCAACACCTCCATCTAACCCTGTAAGATTCATTTCTGACTTCTGATCTCCACCACCGCAAGGTAATAAATTCGTGTTGTTTTAAGCCACTAAGTCTAATTTGTTACATCAGCCATAAGAAACTAACAAACAGCAAAGAGCCAATTAAGTGCAAAACATTCATTTTTCACATTTAGTTTAAATTTTATTGGGCGCCTGGGTGGCTCAGTCGGTTAAGCATCTGCCTTCGGCTCAGGTCATGATCCCAGGGTCCTGGGATCGAGTCCTGCATCAGGCTCCCTGCTCAGCTGGGGAGCCTGCTTCTCCCTCTCCCTCTGCCTGACACTCCCCTGCTTGTGTCCTGTCAAATAAATAAAATCTTTAAAAATTTTTATTTTGATGTGACTTCCAGTATTATTTGCTTTTCTTCTTAATGATGTCACATTCCAACAAAAACAGAGAGGAGTAATGCATCCCCTGAACCACTCACATTTTTCTCTTTAGTTCCTGAACCACCAAGCTTTCTCCCATCGAAGGACAGGAAATTGTGGGTTGTCTTATAAAATCTCTGGAAAATAGGCCTTTTGATAATCACACTTGTCATATTGGGAGCAGGCAAGAGCAGGACAGGAACGTGCAGGAGAGCCCAGAGCCATGATAGGAAATGGCACTGCGATGGACCACCAGCAAGGAGAAATGAAGGTTAAGTTAGAGAGATGAGCTCAGATGAAAGGGCAAGTAGGTGATGAAGGTCAAGGCAAATGAGCAGCAACCGAGAAACTGAGATCAGGAGAGATTCTAGAAGACCAGGCACGGTGACGGGCTCAGTGACCAGAACGCCGTGGCAATGTGAAGGGATTTAACCAGAGGGACTGTGTAAGCAGCCCTGTTAGACAGGTTCCAACCATGGTCTCAGTCCCAGACACAGGCAGGAAGGGAAATGCAAGGGGAGAGAGGAAGGAAAATGCAAGGGGAGAGAGCAAGGGGAGGTTTCATCAAGCAGGAACAGACTCGGGAATTCCAGGTTCACAGGCAACTGAGCGGGTTTGAGTGGGCACAGGGAGGGGTGGAGCGGGCAGGGTGCCAGGAGCCCCAAATGGACCGCAGCCCAGAGACAAGGTGGAAGAGTAAATCCTCCCAAGCAAGACGTCAGG